GCTAAAGTAAAATAAAAAAGGATCAAAGATCTAAATATTAAAATGCTGGAATATTAAATATTAAATCTGCTGGAAGATGAAATGGTAAAACTTGAACATATAGGCATAGGCAAGGACTTTTTGAACAGAACCACAGTTGTACAAGAAATAACACCCAAGAATCAACAAATGGGGTTGTGTTGAATTAAATTGCTTTTGCACAGCAATAAAAATAGAGTGAAGAGACAACATGCACAATTGGAAGAAAATTTTGTCAGCTAGAATATCTAGAACATACGAGGAACTAAAAAAATTAACCCCCTGCCACAGAGTAAAAGACCTAATAAAAACAGGCAAGTGAAATGAATAACCACTTTTCAGAAGAAGTACAAATGGCTGACAAATGCGTGGAAAAATATTCAGCATCACTGATTATTAGAAAAACACAAATATAAAAACACTGACTTTCTTTAAAAGAATAACTATCAAGAAATCATAACATTCTGGCAAGGCTTTCGGATAAAAGGAACCTTTCTACATTGCTAGTGGGAATTTAAGCTAGTACAACCACTATGGAAATCATTAGGGAGATTTCTTTAAAAACTTGGACATGTCACTCCCCTTGTAGGTATCTTTTTGAGAGTTAAAGACATCATGTTAGAGTGATAAATACATACTTATGTTTATAGTGCAGAATTCATTATAGCTAAATCATGGAACTGGCCTACATGTTCACATCTTCCTCTAGTAAGAATGGCTGTCACGGAGAACAAAATACACAAATGCTTTTGAGGACGTGGGGAAAAATAATTCTACATTGCTGGTGGGAATTTTAGTACAACCAGTATGGAAGTATGGATGGAAATGCCTCAAGAAAATAAAAATAGAAACTCAGTTTGACCAAGCTCTATCCTTCTATGTATCTTACCAAAAGAATTAAAATATCATATTACATGACATTTGCATATCCATGTTCATAGCACCACAATTCACAATAGATAAGTTATGGAAACAGCTTAGATGCTCATAAACAGGTGAATAAAAGAAAATGTGATATGTATAATTACTAGCCATAAAATAGAAAAGCATGCCATTTGTAGGAAAATACATAATCCTCGACACTGTAATGTTAAGTGAAATTAGTTAGACACAGGAAGTTGAATATTGCATTGTTTCCCTTATACAAGAAACCCAAATTATATATAATTAAAAAGCAAGTTAAAGGAAGATGATAAGGAATAGAGATGTGGGCCAGGGATTTAGCTCAGTGGTGCTGCCTGCCTCACAAGCATAAGAACCTGAGTTTGAGCCCCAGTACAAAAAAAAAAAAAAAAAAAAAAAAAAAT